GTCAATAATTTTTAATGCTAGGTGTATCAACGAAAAGGTCCAGCTCTTCACACATAAAATTATTGAACTTTATGATGTGCATGCTCCGGTCAGAGAAATTAAAATAAAACAACGCGCATCGCCCTGGTTAACAGAAGACATTAAATTACTTTTAGTAAAGAAAGCCACGGCAAAGACCAAGTACAAATTTAAGCCTACGGTCAGTAATTGGGAAAAGTACGTCTCAATTAGAAATAAATGCAATAAGGTGTGTAGGGACGCACAACGCCATAATATTCACGCACAACGCCATTTCAAAAATTTCAATATTGATTTGCTCAATAATTTTTTCTGTGCTTCGACCAATTTTGATGGTACTATGAAAAATAACACATTAAATGCTCTTTCATCAATTCCTTCCCCCGACTATCCGCCTTTTTTTCTAAATCAATTCTCTGCTTGTGATGTTAAGAAGAGTATTTTATCTATAACTTCAAATGCAGTCGGCAATGACTGTCTTTCCCGTAAAATGATCCTTCCTATCCATGATTTCCTTCTTCGTACTATATGTCATATTTTAAATTCCTCGATCACCATGGGCATATTCCCATGTTCCTGGAAAGATGCAAAAATAATTCCTTTACCTAAAAAACAAACCCTTCGTCCTTTTCCGATTTTCGTCCAATATCCATATTACCATTTCTATCCAAAGTTCTCGAACGCCTCGTACATAGTCAGCTCAGCACTTTCCTTAACAGTAACTCCATTTTAAACCCTTTACAATCTGGGTTTCGACCTGGCCACAGTACGGTAACAGCCTTGGTCAACATCACAGAGGATATAAGAACAGGAATGGAAAACGGCAAGTTAACGGTCCTTGCCTTGCTCGATTTAAGTAACGCCTTTAATACGGTTGACTTTGAGGTTTTGGATGGAATACTCAGGTGTCTTAACATATCTCCAACAGCAATTGATTGGTTTCGCAGTTACCTGTATGGACGTCGGCAACGTATATGCATTGAAGATAACTCTTCTTCGTGGTGCAATACCACTGCTGGTGTCCCGCAGTATGGCATTCTATCTCCTTTACTTTTCTCAGTTTTTATAAACTCGATATCAAATAATCTTACTTCATCCTACCACCTTTATGCAGATGACCTTCAAATCTACACTCAAGCCTGCACTGAAGACTTACATGTGGCTATAAAATGTATAAATGACGACCTGTTAAAAATTTCTGCATGGAGCAATGCACATGCTCTTAAGTTGAATCCGCTGAAGACACAACTTACTGTCATCGGTTCGTCTAGAATGCTGAGTAAGACGAATTTGCAACTAATTCCAAAAGTTAACTTTGACGGAAATTTTATCCCTATTAGTCAAACTGTTAACAATCTGGGAATCCAGTTTGATAAAAATTTATCCTGGGGACCCCAGTTACAAGAGGTTAGCCGCAAAGTATTTGCCTCTGCAGTATCTTTGAGGAGATTACGTAATTTCTTACCAACAGCCACCAAAGTTGCTCTTGCTCAAAGTCTACTTCTCCCCATTCTCGACTATGCCGACGTCAGCTATCTGGATTTAACCGAGGAGCAACTTGATAAGCTTGAACGTATCCAAAATCTCTGTATAAGATTCATATTTGGCTTACGTAAATATGTTCATGTTTCACATTTCCGTTCTAAGCTCAAGTGGTTACCCATTCGACTTCGCCGGAATGCTCATATACTCTCCCTTCTTTACAACGTTCTGTTTAATCCTTCGTATCCCTTTTATTTAAAGAAACGTTTCGAGTTTTTACACGAATCTCATCCACATCTTCTGAGATCATCAGAGAATTTGAAATTAAAAATACCTGCTCACAAAACAAAATTTATGGCTAAGTCCATTATGGTTCAAGGTGCGAAATTATGGAATGCCCTACCTCTGGAGGTGAGACGTGCTCAGTCACTTTCCACTTTTAAAAACCTTGTCAAGAGTCACTATTTGTCACTTTAAATCTGGTTTAGATACAGAATGTATTAACTATGTTTATATATATATGTATGTGTCCTCCGTTTTTGCAGTTTTTCTGGAAGCGTAGCCTATTTTGAATTTGCCATTAACAAAATGCATATTTCACACGAGGACATAAAACCAGTTCTGAAACAATTAGCAATTTATGAGTGGTACAAAAATACAAACCATGTGGGAATTGAACTCACAACCACGTCGGCGAACGTAACAATGAAGCGTTGGCTCAATCAATTCTATCCAACGGTAGATATTTTAAATTATTCATATAAGTGTCCTCAGATCGTTTTACCGTTTCTGAAAGCTGATAGTATCATTATGCATCTAAAAGAAGAAAAAAAAATAATTTCGATTCCCACAGCGGCGACAATCTTTTCGTACTTTTTCTACGTGTTTTAATGTTCAATCTTAAGTGCAGAGATTAGCACTATAAGTAAAAAAAAGTTAAGTAAAGCCTATACATGTCCCACTGCTGGGCAAAGGCCTCCTCTGTATAGAGGGTATCAGGGCATAGTCCACCACGCGGCCCCACTGCGGATTGGCGGACTTCACATATCTTCGAAATATATATATTTTTTTGTTATTATTTCGAAAATATGCAGGTTTCCTCACGATGTTTTCCTTCAGCGGAGCACGTGATAAGTCAGCACTTAAAGTTAAAAACTTCATTGGTGCCGGCACCGGGGATCGAACTCAGGTTGCTCGAGTATATTGAATTAAAGGCGAGCGCCCGGACACTGAGCTATCACGGCTCATTAGCACTATAAAAAACTTTAAAATTTATAAAAAGCAATGGCGACATCTCTCGTTCGAATTATCGTTCTAAAACGATATTCGAAATTGTTTGTATGCTGGAAAGGATATAACAATAGATGCGCCAAGCATTTCTTCAAATGCTAAATAACAACGTAGAAAGAAGGCGTGAAGATTTTCGTCGCTGTGGCTCAGCTAAATCACAAATTTAAAGAAAATTATAATCTCATATTGCCGAGATCTTGAAGATAGCAAAATAGTACAGTCTACGATTTGTAATTGCCCGAATGGGCAGGTCTGTATTCGCAAAAGTTCAAAAATAAAATATAAAATAGCAAAGGTCGTAAAAAATTTAACAACGGAAGACAATAACGATGGTTATAACAACACGCAGCGATGCAGAGCAGTAAACGACTGCTTTCTTTTTACTATTATCCCTTCGTTTGCACAATGCTACCTAATTGGTATTCGTAAAGAAGGGGCGGAGTTTGTCTCGTTGCAAGTAACGAGGCAATTTTTCTGTAAGTGCACAACCGCGTATTGTCCCGATTGTACATCATCTGTGAAAATGTCAACTATCACGGTTCATGAGATACAGCCTTTTTTTTTATGTGAAAAGTTTCCAAACGAGCAGACGGTTCACCTGATGGTAAGTGAATACCGCCGCCCATGGACATCTGCTACACCCGAGGGTTACAGATGCGTTGACAACCTTTTGAAAACTGGGCTCCAGCTACCTCACCAGACGAAACGCGAAAGTATTTGTCATACTTCCACTTTACGCTGGTCTTCTGTGAGGTCGTTGTACTTACCCGGACGGGCCTGCCCATTCGTGCAACAGCCGAGGCTGTTGCGAGGCCCTACCACCGTTGCGAGCCTGGTGACAGAGGGACAGTCGGACAGACAAACAGATAGACAGCGGAATGTTAGTAATAGGGTCCCGTTTTACACTTTGGGTATGTAACCTTAAAAATATTTAGAGACATATGAGTAATTTGTCAAACCCCAAATGATCGCCGTGGAAGTTTCTTTTTAACACCTCCGTAAATATCACTCTGAACTCAGCCTTGGGATATATTTTTATAGACATATTATATAACGATGCTTTATTTCCAATCATATTAGCCATAATTTTAACTATTGAATGACTCCATAACGCAGTTTTCAAGGCTTCAGCGTCGTGGGTCGTGGGTTCGATTCCCACACGAAACAACTATTTGTGTGACCCACAGATAGTTGTTTCGCATCTGGGTGTTTGTCCACGTGAAATTTATGTTTGTAAAACGTCCTTAAATCCTAAAATAAGGGCAATGTTTTAAAGAAGAAATAAATACCCAAATATATGAAAAACGATCACACGTATAGTATATGAGAAAAACCACACTTTTAAGATGGAATTTAATTCGTTTTAATTTAATATGAATATCCTGAAGTTAAAAATAATATTATTTGCCAATATGAAATAAATAAATCACACGTTTTACGCACAGCTGTTTTATCATCTTGTTTTCGTAATTGAAACTTATTATAAATAGTTGTATAGAAACTTACAATATTTTGTACCCTGAAGATATGTATTATTTTCAATATACATACATACATACACATAAATTAAAAATTGCAACTACTTGAGTTGTAAAATTATTGTTATGGCCTAATAATTGAATTTGTATTTAAGTAGAAAAGTAAATAGTTAAGAATTTTAAAGTATGTTCATCAGTTATCTAGTACACATAGTAAATACTTTGCTTACTTTGGGACTAGACAACCTTGTGAAAAAAATGTGCCCTGTTCTTTTCCTGAAATATACATTATATTAATTTAATTTGGTAAATCTTGCATTATCAGTGTTATCTTATAAACAATTAAAAATATTGTTTTTAATGTATCTTCTTGGTTTCTTTTTACTCACTTATCACAGTTCATGAGTAAACGTTAGTTAAGTAAATTAGAACAAAAGATTAAAATTGAAAATAATAAACAGATTCAACTATATTTGATATTGATTCGCTACTGTCAATTTAACATTATATAAAACTCCGTTTGCTGGTTTCAACCATGAGCTTAATATTAATTAATTATTATTATTCATACGTTGGGAACAAGAAACACTCCCGAGTTACGAATCTTCAATCTGTGCAACATTTTTCAAAGCACATGCAAATAATTAAAATCTAAATTTCGTCTGCAAAAATAAAAAAGATACTAGTAGTGATATTTTTGCTTTCAAAGAGAGAACATTATGATATGTCTCAACTATAATAACTTTGAAGCCTGGTGATGGTAGCAAGTATGCGTTGTGGGTCGCAAGGAGTGTCCCTTAAATCTTTGTCTTGACAGCCTCGCGACTGGATACATCTGAAGCTCTTTTCGGGTCCCAGGCAACAGCTCAGAACAGCGTCATCGCAAATACGCTTCAACGGGTCGACTGTAGATGGAAGAACTCTTGGCGGACTGAGTGATGTTAGCTCTTGCGTTGCCAGATTGTTTATATCGGCCTGCACGCTTCCGTGATCGACTGACGGGGCGGGTACTCCGTTATTGTCGTTTACCGCGATTGTGCCAAGTGAGATTGGTCTGCTGCCGTCGTCGTCGTCATCATAGTCAGACACTGTATTGTTGATCAACAACCCCCAATTCTGACGATCGTCTTCCATCTCAGGGAATCGATCATGTAAACCGGGTACGGTTTCGTTTTTTGGGGCTTCCGTAACAGCGGGCTGTTCGGGCGCTTTAGTAGTCGGTTCTTCGTTATTATTTGGATTGCAACCGCATGCCACCTGAGGTATATAGATGGGCACAAACACTGGGTAAAAACTAGGCGGCGGTGGTGGAGGGGTCGACTTTGCCGTTCTCAATATGTCTTCCAGACTTGACCGAATGTACAACAGACTACTTTCTAATTCTGAACTCGTATCGTACGGTCTGTAGAATGGTGGCGGGTAGTTGTAAGGAATGTTGTCGTACCAACGCTTTTGTCTTGGTCCTTGCACTTTCTTATCGTGTCGAGTGTCATCGCTCTCAAATAACGAGTACGGCTGATCGTTCAATTTTGGTTCGTCGTTTTCTAATTCCCGCTTCTCCTTACCCAATTTATCATGAGCTTCGCTTGGTGCACAAAGGAAATTGTGAATTGTTAGAAACCCAATTAAAATAACCATTACACGCGCCATCTGGAATGAAAGAAAAAAAATTAAACAAATTAAATAAAATGTACGAAATATAGAAAAACTACAAAATAGTGTAAAAATTGTTTCATCTGCATTTGGTTACAGGAATTAAGAGAGTGAAGCTTGAAATATGTGAAATTTCTTACTACCTACATGGAGAGTATCATTTATCATAGCCCGGTCAAAATAGACATTCAAGGTGACATTAATTCTTTCGCACAAATCTGAAACTTGGCATGAATTGCTTTTCGCACAAAGCTGAAACTTAGCAAGAATGTTGGGAAGACTATTAAAAACAATTTGCCAAAAATCCCCATCGCTCCCGCATGTGCAAAAAAAATTATTCGAGATCAAATGTTGCAATAATCGTTATTTTATATTTTTCAGCTAAACGGCAAGTTTTATCATAAAAATAGCGAAGAAAAAAAAATTATCCATTAGGCGATTATCTATAAAAACTGTCTCTACACATTTTTCAAAAGAATCACCATTTCGGAGATATAGCGATGGAAAAAGTTGAAAATGTTATGTTCTTCATAATATGTATGTCAATGGCCGTTATATACATTACAGAACGATAATACAAGTAAAAATATTAGTTTTCTTAGCGTATACATACATATTATAGTTGGATTATTCTGTTCATTAGCATGTATCAGTTGTCATAACCACTAAATAAATGCGAATTTTATTTTATTTTACGGATTACGATGCGACAAATAAATAATTAATATGAATGAAACTATGTATCCATTTTAAGTTATTTTTGCTATTGGAAATTTTCCAACGTTAACGTCTTTATGTAATTTGGTATTTTTGTTTCCAGATTTTTTTGATCTTGACTATAAATTATTTATTTTTTCTAAACCCTTACTATGAACTAAGAAGTACGCTAAATCGCATGCATTATTTTTACGTTCGATGTCATGTCAGTTTTTTTTTCATTTTACTAAAAATGTCTCCGTGTTTTGTGTAAGAAATATGAACCTAAATTAGATTTTTATATTATGAGTGAACGATTGAAAATCGATTTCAATCTATAAGGTCGTACTTTGAACTATTCTGCGCGATTCACTTACAAAGGCTATGGCGCATCGACGTCAAATTATCTGACCTCGGATCTACCAAAGTTGTAGGAATGTCATAGTTGAAGAATGTCGCCGTTGGTACAACCGTTAGATATTACGCAAATCAATGGTATATTTAGTAGGCATTTTGTAACAGAAGAAAAAGAACAAACAGCATCTTTTTCGAAACATCTTTGAAGATCCGTGATTTCGGAATACCTGCTCTTTAAACTGATGATACTAAATAACACATTCTGTTGATGCGTGCAAGACCTTCACATTTCGCACGCAATAAACATATTGTTGAATTCAATAGGCGCTTTGAATCAAAAGTTACTATTTATTCGCGAAGTCTCATTAAATTTAACAAAACGGGGACGAAAATGTTTCTAAATTTATCAATTTTTCCGATATTCTCTTGCTTGCTTTTAATTAATTATACTTGAGCAACCTGAGCTCAAATCCCGATGCCAGCACCAATGTTCATTTTAAGTACTGACCCATTACGTGCTCAGCGGTACGGCCGCTTGTTTTTAATTCATAATACTTGAGCAACCTGATTTCGAATCCCGGTGCCAGCACCAATGAAAGTGTTCATTTTAAGTGCTGACCCATTACGTGCTCAGCGGTGTAAGAAAAAATCTTCAAGAAACCTGCATGTTTTCGAAAATAACGTCAAAAGCAAATATTTCGAAGAAATGTGAAGTCTACCAGTCCGCAGTGGGTTCGCGTGGTCGACTATGCCCTAGTACACTCTGTACATAGGAGGCCTTAACATTACTTCTTTACTTTTTTAATCTGATTATTATTTGAGATACTGGTGGTACTCAAATGGCCCGTAGATCAAGGTGTTTCATTATTTCAATCACTGTTATGACCGCGAAAAGACCACTGCGCTTTCCAAAAAATTATAAGTAGATTGTAACAATTGATTTTATTTTATAAAACACGCCGCTCCTTACTAGCGCGTTGAGATATCATTGTTAATTATCTCGATATTTTAGCATGCTTCGTTTCTGTTTCATTAGATTTAAGATGCAACATTAAAAGTTACTTTAAAATTTTAGATCCAGAACAGACATTAAATATAGTATTAAATATACAGCGTGTCGTTACCATCGCGACAATAAATAAACACACATATAGGGGATAACTTTTTAAAGTTGTATTAAACATTTAAATTCTTTAAACATCAATATTTACAGAGTTATTAAATTTTCCAAAACAAAGAATTTTATAACACCCTTACCTATAAAAGCGTAACGTAAAGTTCATTTGTAAAGGTCACAAAGCATATGAATGGGTTAAAAGAATTTAAAAGAGACAAAACATACTGTTAGAAGGAGAGGCTTGTAATACGACGCTGTGGCGCGAGTTGTATAGGATGTTACAAAATTTGTTTCTTTTTTACTTAATTAGTTTGTTTGAAAAATATTTTGTGATTTGTAAAGTGACTTGAGGTTGCGACGTCGATCCAACGTCCGCAAGTTCGGTTTTCCAAAAAAACTTCACTCACAACACTCGCGCGCGAGTCGAATGTCTGCCTTCTACTCACTGGCTGACTATTAGGCAACGAAGGACCATGTACAAATTCAAAGCGATTGTATTTTGGGTCCGTGAGGTTAATTGAAATAAACAAGGTTCACGTTGCAAGTTTTTTAATCAACAATTTTTGCGGACCCTCATACTAATTACAACGCTCAAACCATAGTGTGTTTTAATTTATTACTAACGCCACCTATGTATTACAAATAAGAAACTAAATATTATACAAAGCTAAAATGAAATAATTGTAGAATTTGTATTTATGTCTATGATAATAAAAGCCTTTTATTAAACTTTATCTAATTTAACTTTATTTAACCAATTTCTGTAAAGTTGCATATAGTAAATTATTTTTTTAATTATGGATTTTCTTTAACGTTAATATTTTTTTATTTTTATTGGCAAGTAGCGTTAGACGTGTGTTCATTTATTGTCGCGATGGCAACGATACGCTGTATACTTCATGAAGTGCATACATTAGTTTTGGGCTCATTAAATTTTACATTGAAATCCAAAATACGAACTGGTTCTAATTTTTATACATTCATAAGTAAGACATATTTGTAAGACGTGGACGACTATGAAACCTTTGTTATTATAATTTATTTTCATTATGCGCATTTTTATAGCTAAATATCATATTGTATGTTGAGTTATAAATTGATTTCATCAACTTCATGAATATTTCAACGTAAGCAGGCATCAGCACATACACAAGCGCCAGAAGGACTCGAGTTTTGAGAGTTTAGTAAAATGTTTATTATCTTATTCGATATATGTTTCCATTCCATTACAAGTTAACTATTTTCAGATCTGGCATTTATTTGAACTGTTGCTAGTCGCTATTCTTAACTATTCTAGCCCCATAGGATTCACAATAGAGAATTGTAACCCAATGAGTTACTTAACCCGTATATGAGACATAAACAGCTTTAAACCTTTTAATTACAAAAAGACTTGGTAGATTTTTTTATTTACATATCAAGGAAAACCTTAAAACTTAGTTATGTCTTAGTGGTTTTCTAAGAAGGTAATTAGATTGATAAGAAAGAGGTCTTATGAGGGTTTCAACTTACGAAAGGAAATAAACCCATATAAAATAGTTGATAGTAAGTTTTTGAAGCTGTGTATAACATGCCGTACATGAAAGATGTTTGTAAGGAAAAATCATGTGGGAGGGACGTGGAATGAATTTTTCATACGACCCAACATGTCCCTACATTTCCCTATATATTAAAATCGTATGCGAACCCTATAGAGTAATACAAATATTTTCCGCCTTTTTCAGCAATAAATGATCATAAAGCATCTTAAATTTTTGATTGCTTAATGCATAAGCATTAAAAGTTTTCTTGATAAAGATATTTACAATTTGAAAATACAGTTTCAAATAAAAATTCCTGTGTTCAATGGACTCAACTGAAATGTTGAAAACAATTTTATAATAATTTTGATAGCAACACCTTCACAGCGTCATAACACTAGAACTACATAAAAATATCCATAGTTTAACAAACATCGGATATGCAATCGAGTTCACTTCTTCACTGAGCTACTCTTAGGTAAAACAAATAATATCGTATTGCAATCTAAACAATAATGTTAAATACTGCAGAGTTCAATTTAGATTATTGCCATTGTTGTTCCCTCATCTATGTGGTATATTTGTAGCGATCTATTTTTGTCGGGCCATAAACATTCTCACGACTCCAATTTCGCTGTACATTTTTTACAATGACATGGTGATGTAATGTAAAGTGTACGTGAACTAGTAGAGAGACAGAAGCTTACGTTATAGACGTAGTTAGTAACGTAGATAGCGTTGTGCTGCTAATAGCTAAAATGTAAAAAATGCTTTTTAAATCCTGACCGACCCAGAGTGACAAGAAAGCAGATACCGTTCCTCGTGGCCACATAAAAGCCTGTGGGGTTGTAGTTGCATCGGCAACATTTAATTGTGTGGGCCTTTTTTAATATCTGAATTTTATGTCTGATATTTTATTTCTGAATCTTCAAAAGATACCTAGGAAAAATATGGTTATGTGGAGTGTTTATGCTGGAGCCCTGGTAACCCTAATTACAAATGAAATAAGGAAGTTGCTGTTTGTATCCACTACAATAACTTTAAATTTCACGTTGTCATTTGCATAATTCTTTAAAAACTTTTTACACTGCTAAACACATAATATTGTTCACTTTACATTTTAGTAATTTACTAGTATTTTAGCAGTGAACTCATGCAGGATGAATGATGGTGGTAATCAACAGATTATTATTTTTATGTAGTTATTTATGTATGTTATTTTTACGTAGTTTAAAATGAAGAGTAAAACAGCTGACGTTATTGAAGATTTAATTTATTATAAATGATTATTTTATAATATATTTATA